CTGGGCCGACAGTCGGAAGTTGGCAGCCGACATTGGCCCGATATTGGCCCAGTTTTAAAATCGTACATGGGTACTGAAATTATTTCGGTATAGCCGATTACGATATTCCACTATTTCGGTATTCAGTTTTGTAACTGTAATAGCGTTACCGGTAAATCAAACGGTATTAGGTCTCTGTTAGAGAATTCCACAGTATAGACAGCAGTATAGACTAGAAGATTGATTATGTTTTAATGTCCGAACGTTTCGGCGCACAGTCACATTTGAGATTAATTAAATTCATTAACTTAGAATATTATATTATTCGAAACTTCCAACTTTGATCGATCCTTGGGCACTCTACTATGTTATGTAGATATAACATTATATAGATGATTGCAAGACATATTGACACGCTGTCAGACATTTTTGCTCGCTTGTATTAGGTGTTAAACTTAATTCCTGCCGTTTTTCGTCTCCAAAATTGATTTATTTCGAAGGGAAATACCTTAATCAAAGTATTATTAATAAAGTATTATTAATTAGTAATAAAGTAGAAAATGGAGGAAATTACTTTGATTATAATTTTACAATTATGATGACGTACAAAAATGTACGTTATCATAAGGTATTCATTCATCTTCCCTTCAAAACAAATCAATTTTGGAGACGAAAAACGGCAGGAATTAAATTTAACACCTAATACAAGTCTATTCTATTCTATCTGTCATCTCAGATCATTTAAATAATTTGAATTCAACTCCATTGTTGCGTATAACGGCAAACAGGGCGATATATTTCCAGTTTTGACTGTTAACGGCGAACGGACATGCACGCGAATGCAGACTCTGTTATAGGGACTCTAATGGAATGTATAGACTATACTTATTAGCTACGCCGCCCTGAACAGAAAGAAAATTACATGTCCTATCTGCTTGGGGCCTAAGTTGAGCCTAGAAATTGCAGCGTAGACAGTGTCCGCTTGGAATATTTCTAACTCATAAAGACAGTGGAGTGTGAGAACAGTGTGTGTAATCAGGTCGTGCGCAATCGAGTCTGTGCGCAATTGGATCGGCGTACAATCGGATTTGTGCGCAATTAGATCTGTGTGCAATCGGGTCCGTGTGCAATCGAATTCGTGTCCTAATCATTGAACTATACAGGGTGTCAATTATGTACCGGGACGGTCAAATATTTCGACAACTTCCAACATTAAAAAAAAACGCTGAAACACGTGAAACGATTTTTCAAAAAA